AATCAATTTTGTTATTAAGTTGAATAAAGACTTAATCATATTTATCAAATTTATAGATGACAAGTGATGGCAGAAATAACAATGTTGAATGACACAGATAATTTTTGGAATAGCCTTAACCATTTAGAACAGTTTGCTCTTCTTGGTATCCCCAGGGCATACCACAAAGCCTGGCATATAGTAGACCTCAAACACTATTTGTTGAAAGAATTAATGAATGAATGGGTCAAAAATAACAAGGTGAAAGTTATCAAATAAAATTAATTTGTTCAGGTACAGAATAGACTAAACCTGGTTTGATAGCAAGTTAGATGAATACCAGTCAGATACAGTTCATTACCAGCTCAATTTAAGCCAAGAGTCCAATTAACAGAAGTATAATATCTAGGGAAATTAATCTCACTGTCATCACTCTAGTCAGACTATGTGTAAAATATTAAATTCCTTCTGGGCATCACTTTCTAAGTTGACATTGGCAAACTAGAATTTAACAAGAGAGGGTAGCCAGGATATTCAGAAGTCTGGAAATCTTGTCATGAGGTATAATTGAATTATCTGAGATGTTTAACTTGGAAAAAGAAAACAGGAGGGACATGCTTTGAATATCCGGAGAGTTGTCATGGGAAAGATATATTAGAGTCATCCTGTGAATCACCCAAGGAAAGAATATGGAAGCTACAGAGAAATAGATCTTGCTTTAGTATAAGGAAGGAATTTCTCACAGATCTGTCCCAAACTGAATTACTCTACCCTGCAAAGAAGGGAACACTTCATCACTTCAAATGTTCAAGCAAAAAGTACATAATCTATCAGAGACTCACAAATTATTACTGTGGATGGATATTAGCATGCATGATCTGAAGAGCCTTTCCTGCCCTGATATCCTCTGATTCTGTGACCCCTGAGTGATTTGCTGCCTACCTCTTCAACGTCATCACAATCTCTCTTTTCATTGACTTATCTTCTTTTCATTTAATATCTGATACGTTCTCTTTGTTCTTTCTCCCATCATTCTCATTTGCTCATGAAGTAGTCCTACAATCTGACTTTATGTAACTACTACCCAAAGTCCGTAGTTACATAAAGGCTCACTCTTGGTGTTGTACATTCTACTGATGTGAACAAATGTGTAATGACAAGTATCCATCATTATAGTATCATACAGAGCATTCTCACCACCCTAAAAAGCCTCTGTGTTTTACCTGTTCATCCCTCTTCCCTTCCCAAACACTGGCAACCACTGATCTTTTTACTGCCTTCATAGTTTTGCTTTTTCCATAATGTCATGTAGTTGGAATCATACAGTATGTAGATTTTCAGATTGACTTCTTTCACTTAGTAATATGTGTTTGTTTTCTCCTTGTCTTTTCATGACTTGATAACTCATTTCATTTTGGTGCTGAATAGTATTCCATTGTCTGGATTTACCACAGTTCATTTATCCATTCACCCTTTGAAAGAAATCTTAGTTGCTTCCAAGTTTGGGCAATTATGAATAAAGATGCTATAAACATCTGTGTGCAGGTTTTATGTGGACATAATTTTTCAGCTTCTTTAGGTAAATACCAAGGTGTGTGATTGCTAAATCATGTTAAGAGTATGTTTAGTTTTGTAAGAAAGTGCCAAACTATCTCCAAGGCAGCTGTACCAATTTGCATTCCCATCAACGAATGAGGATTCCTGTTGCTCCACATCCTAGTCAGCATTTGGTGTTGTCAGCGTTCCAGATTTTGGCCATTCTGATAGGTATGTAGCGGTATCTTGCCGTTTAAATTTACATTTCTTTGATGACATATGATATGAAGCAACTTTTCATATGCTGCTTTGTCATCTGTATATCTACTTTGGTGAGGTGTCTGTTAAAGCCTTTGGCCCATTTTTCCACCTGGTTGTTTATTTTCTTATTGTTGAATGTTAAGACCTCTTTCTATCTTTTGGAAAATAGTCTTCTATCATATGTGTCTTTTGTAAATATTTACTCCCATCCTGCGGCTTGCCTTCTGTTCTCTTGATATGGACTTTTGCAGAGCAGTTTTAAATTTTAATGAAGTCCAGCTTATCAATTATTTCTTTTATGCATTGTGCCTTTGGTGTTGTATCTAAAAAGTTATTGACATACCAGAAGTCATCTAAATTTTCTCCTGTTATTTCCTAGGAGTTTAATAGTTGCATTCTACATTTAGGTCTGTGATCCATTTTCAGTTAATTTTTATGAAGAGTGTAAGGTCTATGTCTAGATTAATTTTTTTTTTGCATGTGAATGTCTAGTTGTTCCAGTACTATTTTTTGAAAAGACTGTATTTGCTCCATCATATTACATTTTGTTCCTTTGTGGAAGATTAGCTGACTATACTTACGTCGGTTTATTTCTGGGATCTCTATTCTGTTTCATTGATCTGTTTGTCTATTCTTTCACCAATGCCACACTGTCTTGGTTACTGTAGCTTTGTAATAAGTCTTAAATTCAGGTAGTGTCAGTCCTTCAAATTTGTTTTTCTCCTTCAATACCATGTTGACTATTCTGGTCTTTTGACTCTCCATATAAACTTCAGAAACAGCTTGTTGATACCCACAAGGTTACTTGCTGGGATTTTGATTGGGATTGCATTGCATCTACAGATCTAGTTGGGAAGAATTGACATCTTGATGATACTGAGTGTTCCTATCCACGAATATGGACTAATCTCTCCCTTTATTTAGTTCTTCATTGATTTCATTCATTAGAGTTTGTAGTTTTCCTCACGTAGATCTTATACATATTTTGTTAGATTTATACCTAAGTATTTCATTTGGGGGCTTGCTAATGAAAATGATATTGTGTTTTCAATTTCAAGTTCCACTTGTTCATTGCTGGTATAATCTTAATTTTAATTAACTTAAATTTAAATAGCTTCATCTGTCTGGTGGCTATCCTTTTAGTCAGCACAAGCCATCTCTACAAAGTACAATCATGAATTCTTCCCTTTTTAGGAATAAATGTAAATGTTACTACTGTACCAAAATGTAGTGCTGCACCAAAACATTTACACTGACTTACTCATTTAACATTTATGGAATATACCAGGCACTATGTACCAGTTGTCATCCTAAATGCTAAAGAGCATCTAGGAGCTCACTGAAGAGCTCAGACTACTGAGAGATGTAGTGAGTAAAAATTACAATATAATTTTGCTTGCTGCTAGAGACATCTGAATAGAGAATTGTGGGGATACAGCATGTGAAACAATTGCAGGAATTTAAAAAGTTTCATTGAAGAGTTTTATTTAAGCTGGGACGTCATGGAAGAATAAGTTAAAAAATAAATGTGGGTAGAGGAGAGTGAAGAAGAGGACAGGCATTCCAGAAGAGACATGAAGTCCTGAAAAGGCTTGGTGTATGGAGGACACAGTGTGCTACTCCACATGTGGTATGCAGCCGCAGAGGATGCTGCTGGAAAGTAGACTCCATGCTGATCGTGAGTCTTACATGATCAGTAAGAAGTCTGGATATCAAGTAGTCACATAGTTCATTATACTTCCCCTATTGTTATAAATTTCATACTTTATATTAAATGCCTTTTTAAAAATCTGCTTCCTTAGATTTTCAAGTTGTTTATGGCAAGATCACGTCTGCCTTATCCACCACTGTACTCCATGGCATCTGGTAATCAATAAGTATCTGTTACATGAATGAATGTTTCTGCTTGTTCTGAAACTTGATGCCCTTTGGGACCACATCACCTACTCTATTCCAAGTTACCGCTTTAATGTCCGGTGTTCCACCTCTCAGTTTGCAACCACATTGCCCAACAGTTTGCCTATTTGGTGGCAGTACTTAGTGACAGGTTTTATTACTGTTTTCTGCATTTTAAATAAAGCTGGATACTTTACTAGACAAGAACATTTGTGGCATTGGCTTTGAGTGACCCAGAATGAGATACTGAGATGGGAAAGTAACTGAAATAACTCCCCTCCACCAACTCTGTAGGGCATATAGTTAAAAGGAATTATATATGTATAGTATATACATTTTTTTAAAAATGAAAAGTGAGGTATAAAAGTAAAACGGATCAAGAAAGGTACTCCAGAGTAACTATCTACTTTTTACCGATTTCAATGTAGGGGAAAGCAAAACAAACGTGCTCCTTGTTTCTTCCATTCCATCCATAGCCATATACATTTACTAGCTTATGTTTATATTTCTTCATTATTTGATGGAGCTAATCCTCCGCGTAAGAGAAATCGGAAAGGCTCTAGACTACATGAAAGCAGTTCCCAACATTTATGGTACCCAAATTATTCATATTTGTGCAAAAAAAAAAAGTAACTATCCAACAGGTTCAAAGCTTTGAGCCCAAGTAAAAATAAGCATGATGGGGCTTCCCTGGTGGCGCGGTGGTTGGGAGTCCGCCTGCCGATGCGGGGGACAAGGGTTTGTGCCCCTGTCCGGGAATATCCCACATGCTGCGGAGCGGCTGGGCCGGTGAGCCATGGCCAATGAGCTTGCGCGTCCGGAGCCTGTGCTCCGCAACGGGAGAGGCCACAACAGTGAGAGGCCCGCGTACCGCCAAAAAAAAAAAAGCATGATTCCCTATACAAATGGGATTGCCCTTCCTTAATAGCTAGAGAAGAGGGGATGCTAACTGGAGGTCCCGGCACATCTCTTCCTCACCCCCCTCCCAAAAATAAAACAAAGGGGAGGCAGAAAAAAAAAGAAGAGTGGTTAATTTGATTATCACTGCGCCAAAAACATTAGGGATAATGCAAACAATGACCTAAAGTAACACTTTATTAACTTGGCTTTCCTGCAACCCATCCGCGGCCGGGCAGAGATCTCGCGGCTTAGCTCTCAGCAGTCCCCACCAGGCTTCCATAGCCGAGGACAAACCTCCCGCACGGGGTGGGCGGGGCTGAGGCCTTTCGGGCCCCGCCCATGCCTGCGCCGGCCGCACGAGTTTCGTAGCTGCGTCGGGGAGGAGTCTCTTGTCCCTCTGCGCGGTCCGTTCCGCCCAGGCTCCCGTGGCTTTTCGGCTGACGTGTCTACTGTTGGCCGGCTGCTTGGCGAGTAGGGCCGAGATGGCGGACGCTTGGGAAGAGATTAGGCGATTGGCGGCAGACTTCCAGCGGGCGCAGTTCGCAGAGGCCACGCAGAGGTGCATGACCCTCCCTCTCCATTGTGGAGTCCAAAATAGCCCCAGGGCGGCCACGCCAAGATCTGAGGCCGCAAACCCCAGGTCTTGGACCCCGGACCTTCCCAGCCGCTGTCAGCGTTCCCGCCCCCTCCCCCGCTCCCAAAGCCTAGATTGCGGCTGCCAGTATAATTCCCGGCGCGGGGAGACCGAGAACATCCCCCCACCCTTTAAGCCCCAGCCAGGTGCAGGCGCGGCCTCCCCCCACGATAGCTGGGGCTGGTGACTTGGAGCTGTCTTAAGAACGTCTCTCTAACCCTTACTTAACCGTCAGCAAGTCATTGCCTGTTATACACTTCCTGACTTAGAGCTTGGAGAGGCTAACCCCAAAGTACAGTACTTTGCAAATACTCTGTTGACCCCTTAAACATTTTGCCTTTTTATTCACCAGATGTCCTAGGCCAGAGCCAGGGTCTTATCTGTCATTTTTAGGGACTCCGGACACTGATATTTCCTACAAACCCACTAACCTTTGCGGGGGGGTGTCCTGAAAAGCACCCTAACTCTGCTTTTTACCATTACCGAGCACGTAAAAAGCTAGTAGAACCGTTTTTTATCCGTTGACTATTCCTTGTCTTGTTTCTTCTGGGGCTGAAGACTTTAATCCCTTGATGCTGTGTTTTGTATCAGTGCGAGCAAACTAGGACACTTAACGTGTTTTCTTATCTCCTACCTACAGATGAGTTGTATGAATGAGACAATAATGCATTCAATAAAAGAAAATTTGGGGTTTTTTTTAACTGAAGCTAAAGTGAAAATTGAAATAAAAGTAGGGCAGTTTTTTCCCTTATGTAAATTACATGTCCTGATTTTTCAGATTTGAAGATTAGAAGCAGGCCTAGAAGAGAGAGCAAACTTGAAATCTGTAATAGAAAGATTTGTAACAATGAACTACATGATTTAAGTTCGTGTAAACCTGTTTACTCCCTAGAACTTTTTTTAATTTATTGAATTAGTATTATACTAATAAAAGATACAGATTTTGTAATATAGAACCTAATGACTACCCAAACCTTTTTAAAAGCCCATTTTCATACGTTTTCTTAATCATATTATGCACTGAATGTATCAAATGCATTTTTAAAAGTTAACTTTTGTTTCCCTCAGGTTGTCAGAGCGGAATTGCATTGAGATCGTGAATAAATTGATTGCTCAGAAACAGCTAGAAGTAGTTCACACACTTGATGGGAAGGAATATATTACTCCAGCCCAAATTAGTAAAGAAATGAGAGATGAGTTACATGTTCGAGGTGGTAAGTAATTCCTTAGTTTTTTTCTTCTGGTTCTTTGAAAGGGGGGAAAAACCCTTAAAACTATACATTATAAGTGATTTGGAGGTTATAGGACACCCTTTCAATTGTTAATATGGTAATCAGCCTTAATATTTTTAATAGGTTTAGGTAAACCTGATCGTATAATTTAAATGAAGTCAAATATTGTCACTTTAAAAATAGCATTTTTGGGCTTCCCTGGTGGCGCAGTGGTTGAGAGTCCGCCTGCCGATGCAGGGGACACGGGTTTGTGCCCCGGTCCGGGAAGATCCCACATGCCGCGGAGCGGCTGGGCCCGTGAGCCATGGCCGCTGAGCCTGCGCGTCCGGAGCCTGTGCTCCGCAACGGGAGAGGCCACAAAAGTGAGAGGCCCACGTAAAAAAAAAAAAAAAAAAAAAAGCATTTTTTATTATTTTGAGTTATGTGTTCTGTATGTGAATTAATCAGCTGTTTCTTTTCACAGTTCATGAATTTATTGGGTGACTCAGGGGTGGATACTTAGCTGCCTCTTACCAGGTGATAATTATGAAGAGGAAATAGAGATTTTAAAGTATAGACTGTTGAAAATCAAGGTTGTACTACCATGCTCTTTTTTAAACTTTAAGTATTTGCAAATTAGGAATCAATGTAATAGCGTGCTACATCTGTTTGTAGGAAATGCTATTACAAGCATACAAAAAAGTTTTTGTTTCCTTTGTCTTTTTGAAATTTGAACAAATTACTGAGCAAATTTGAACACTTTGATTAGATTAGATGCATCTGTGAAAACAACTCATTAGGTGTCATTAGATATGCCCTTGGTGTTTGTTTTTTATCTTCCTGCATAGTCCTAATAAAATATTAGCTATAATTTGGAATACTTAACAGATATTCTTTAGCTAATAAGTGGTAACCTACCAGTTTCAAATAATTGAAAAAAGTTTACCTGAATTTAGTTGTATCTCTTTGGTCACAGTAGATAAAATTGCAAAGGGAGGTAAATAACCCCTGTATATCTGGCTAAACCGTGTATCAGCTGATTCTCTAATTGGCCTGATATGACAGATGGAACTTTGAAAATAAACTATTGTCTGTACCTTAAGTCATGGAAATTTATTCAGCTAATGGTTTGCGTTTGAAGACATTAATTACCGCAGCCCTGTGTCCTTTGTAGAAGGAGAACGTTGACGGTCCAAAACGTAAATCTGTTGGAATTTACAGTTTTTGGCTGGTATGTACTTAACACATAATGTAAAATAAATGAATGTCTTTTCTTTAAAGGTCGAGTAAACATTGTTGATCTGCAACAGGTAAATTTCAACTTTATAATAGTTTTTACTTTGATTCCTCAACATTAATTTTTTCAGTGCCCTAAGTATTCCTTGGTACTGGTATCATGTTTTGTGTTTGTGAAGAAATAATTACATAACCCTCACTGACATATATTGAATCAGTTTAATAAGTTCTTCTTTCTCAGTTGACTTGCTTATTCTTTATTCTTTATGAAATAAACTCATAGTTGTCATTTTATGTAATTACAGAATTTATGTAATTTTGGGAGAAAAATCACCGGTTTCCTGTTTATTTGTTTTTAATATGTGGAAGTAAAAGAAATGTAGATATTTTTAGAAAATACAGGTATACATGTCATCAGTAAGGTACACTACAGTATATACAAGAAACTGGCAAATTTTGTGTGAAATGGTATATCTTTTATTTTAATTTTTATTTTATACTGGAGTATAGTTGATTTAGAGGTTTTTTTCAGATTATTTTCCTGTATAGGTTATTACAGAATATTGAGTACCATTCCCTGTGCTATACAGTAGATCCTTGTTGATTATCTATTTTATGTATAGTAATGTGTATATGTTAATCCCAAACTCCTAATTTATCCCTCCTCCTGACTTTTCCCCTTTGGTAACCATAAGTTTGTTTTCAAAGGCTCTGAGTCTGTTTCTGTTTTGTAAATAACTTCATTTGTATCATTTTTTTTTAGATTCCTCATATAAGTGATATCATATGATAATTGACTTTCTCTGTCTGACATACTCCACTTAATGTGATAATCTCTAGGTCTGTCCATGTTGCTGCAGATGGCATTATTTCATTCTTTCTTATGGCTGAGTACTATTCCATTGTATATATGTAGCACATCTTTATCCATTCCTCTGTTGATGGACATTTAGGTGGTTTCCAACCTAATTGGAAGTAATTTACCTATTGTACATAGTGCTGCAATGAACATTGCCGTGCATGTATCTTTTTGAAGTATAGTATTCTCCAGATGTATGCCTAGGAGTGGGATTGCTGGATCATATGGCAACTCTATTTTTAGTTTTTTAAGGAACCTCCGTACGGTTCTGCATAGTGGTTGTACCAATATACATTCCCACCAACAGTGTAGGAGGGTTCCCTTTTCTCCATAGCCTCTCCAGCATATATTGTTTGTAGACTTTTTGATGATGGCCATTCTGACCAGTGTTAGGTGATACCTGATTGTAGTTTTGATTTGCATTCTCTAATAATTAGTGATGTTGAGCATATTTTCATGTTGTTTTGGCCACCTGTATGTTGATGGAGAAATGTCTGTTTAGATCTTCTGCCCATTTTTTGATTGGGTTGTTTTTTTGATATTGAGTTACATGAGCTGTTTGTATATTTTGGAGATTAATCCCTTGTCACCCACTTCGTTTGCAAATATTTTCTCCCATTCTGTTGATTGCCTTTTCATTTTGTTTATGGTTTCCTTTGCTGTGCAAAACTTTTAAGTTTAGTTAGGTGCCATATGTCTATTTTTGTTTTTATTTTCATTACTCTAGGAGGTAGATCCATAAAGATATTGCTGGGAGGGAGACGCAAGAGGGAGGGGATATCTGTATATGTATAGCTGACTCACTTTGTTATACAGCAGAAACTAACACAACATTGTAAAGCAATTATACTCCAATAAAGATGTTAAAAGAAAATATTGCTGCGATTTACGTCAAAGAGTGTTCTGCCTATGTTTTCCTCTAAGAGTTTTATAGTGTCCAGTCTTACATTGAGGTCTTTAATCCATTTTGTGTTTATTTTTGTGTATGATGTTAGAGAGTGTTCTAATTTCATTCTTTTACATGTAGCTGTCCAGTTTTCCCAGCATCACTTACTGAAGAGATAGACTTTTCTCCATTGTATATTCTTGCCTCCTTTGTCATAGGTGAATTGACCATAAGTGTGTGGGTTTATTTCTGGGCTTTCTGTACTATTCTGTTGATCTATATTTCTGTTTTTTGTGCCAGTGCCGTACTGTTTTGATGACTGTAACCTGTAGTATAGTCTGAAGTCAAGGAGCCTGATTCCTCCAGCTCTCTTTTTCTTTCTCTGGATTGCTTTGGCTATTTGGAGTCTTTTGTATTTCCATACAAATTGTAAAACTTTTTGTTCTAGTTTTGTGAAAAATGCCATTGGTAATTTGATAGGAATTGCATTGAATTTGTAGCTTGCCTTGGGTAGTATAGTCATTTTGACGATACTGATTCTTCCAATCCAAGACCATGATATATCTTTCCATCTGTTTGTGTCATCTTTGATTTCTTTCATCAGTATCTTACAGTTTTCAGAGTACGGGTCTTTTGCCTCCTTAGGTAGGTTTATTCCTAGGTATTTTATTCTTTTTGATGCAATGGTAAATGGGATTGTACCCTTAATTTCTCGTTCTGATCTTTCGTTGTCAGTGTATAGAAAAGCAAGAGATTTCTGTATGTTAATTTTGTATCCTGTGACTTTACCAATTTCCTTGATGAGCTTTACTTATCTGGTAGCATCTTTAGGGTTTTCTGTGTATAGTGTCATTTCATCCACAAACAGTGACAGTTTTACTTCCTTTGCAATTTGGATTCCTTTTATTTCTCTTTTTTCTCTGATTGCCATGGCTAGGACTTCCAAAACGATGTTGAATAAAAGTGGCGAGAGTGGACATCCTTATCTTGTTTCTGATCTCAGAGGAAATGCTTTCAGCTTTTCCCCATTGAGTATGATGCTAGCTGTAGGTTTGTTGTATATGGCCTTTATTATGTTGAGGTGTGTTCCCTCTATGCCCAACTTTCTGGCGAGTTTTTATCATAGATGGGTGTTGAATTTTGTCAGAAGCTTTTTCTGCATCTATTGAGATTATCATACGGTTTTTATTCTTCAGTTTGATCAGTATGTGTCTTGGCTTGTTCCTCCTCGGGTTTATCCTGTAAGGGACTGTGCGCTTCCTGGTCTTGAGTGAGTGTTTCCTTTCTCGTGTTAGGGGAGTTTTCGGCTGTTACCGCTTCAAATATTTTCTCATGCCCTTTCTCTCTCTCCTCCTTCTACCCCTATAATGTGAATGTTGGCACATTTAATGTTGTCCCAGAGGTGTCTTAGGTTGTCATCATTTCTTTTCATTCTTTTTTCTTTATTCTTTTCCACAGCAGTGATTTCCACCAATCTATCTTCCAGCTCACTTATGTGTTCTTCTGCCTCATTTATTCTGCTGTTGATTGCTTCTAGTGTATTTTTCATCACAGTTATTGTATTGTTCATCTCTGTTTGTTCTTTAAATCTTCTAGCTCTTGTTTAACATTTCTTGTATCTTCCCAGTCTGTACCTTCATTCTTTTTCTGAGATCTTGGATCATCTTTGCTATCACTATTCTGAATTCTTTTTCAGGCAGATTGCCCATTTCCACTTCACTTAGTTGTCCTTCTGGGGCTTCATCTTATTCCTTTATCTGGAACATATTTCTCTACCATGTCATTTTATTTAACTTTCTGTGTTTGAGGTTTCCATTCCACAGGCTTCAGGATTGTAGTTCTCCTTGCTTCTGGTGTTTGCCTCCTGGTGGGTGAGGTTGGTTCAGGGGCTTGTGCAGTCTTCCTGGTGGGAGGGACTGGTGCCTGCCCCCTGGTGGGTGGAGCTGGGTCCTGCCCTTCTGGTGGACAGGGCCATGTCAAGGGGTGTGTCTAGAGGTGGTTGTGGGCTCAGGACGTTAGGTAGCCTTTCTGTTGATGAATGGGGTGTGGTCCCACCCTGTTGGTTGTTTGGCCTGAGGTGTCCCAACACTGGAGCCTGCAGGCTGTTGGGTGGGGCCAGATCTTGGTGCCAAAATGGCGACCTCCAAAAGAGCTCATGCTGAGGAGTATTCCCTGGGGCCTCTGCCACCAGTGTCCTTGTCCCCACAGTGGGCCACAGCAGACCCCCACCTTCTTAGGAGACCCTCCAGGACCCTCAGGTAGGTCTGGCCCAGGCTACTGTGGAGTCACTGCTTTGCTCTGGGTCCCAGTGAATATGAAACTTTGTGTGTGCCCTCCAAGTGTGGAGTCTCTATTTCCCCTAGTCCTGTGGAGCTCCTGCACTCAAGCCCACCGGCCTTCAAAGGCAAATGCTCTGGGGGCTCTTCCTCCTGCTGCCAGACCCCTAGGCTGGGGAGCCTGACGTGGGGATCAGAACTCTCACTTCTGTGGGAGAAACTCTAACAGAGGATCCAGTTTGTGGATTATTCACCTGGCAGGTACGGGGTTTGATTATATTGAGAAAGCGCCCCTCCTGGCATCTCCTTCTGGCTCCTTCTTTGTCTTTGGATGTGGAATACCCTTTTTGATAGATTCCAGTGTTTTTTGTTGATAGTTGTTCAGCAGTTAGTTGTGATTTTGGTGTTTTCTTGAGAAGAGGTAAGCTCACGTCCTTCAACTCCACCACCTTGTTTCCCTACCTTCCAAAAATGAGTAGAACTGATGTCGTTAGGTTAGAGGACCTTGGTCCTTGTCTTTTTTGGAGAGAGAATTCCACTGTAAAGCAGGCACAGAGTTTATCGGAAGCACAGTATGTGCAAAGAGAACAAAGAAGCAATTTATTTAGAGCAAAGCAGAAATACACACCCAGAGAAGAGTGTGGACGTTCTCCCTGATGAGGAGCACACCAGAGAGGTGATTTAAATCACTTATATGGAGGCAGTTTTTCCGGGCCTTTGTTTTCCTTTGGCCAGTCATCTTGCTTCGTTTCCCACCTCTGACCAGACCCAGGGCCCTTCCTGATATGCGTGTGCATCTTTTTGCCAAGGTGGATTCCAGTACAGAGGCCTATGGAAGATTGACAGCACCTTTTATGGGGCAGCGCCCCTTCCTTTTTGACCCCCAAGGAGTCTTTCTGCACATGTGCAGTCAGGGAGGTTTCCTTGACCTCAGGAGTGATAGATGCAGTCATCTTATCTAATTACTTCAGCAGAGCTCAGCTCCTGCCATTAACTTTGTCCTTGAAGTGTCTAGGGCATACAAACCTCCAATTACTCTGCCTGACAAACTCT